ATATATATATATATAATTTTTTTTAAAACAACCAAGCCTGGCTCACAGAAGAGCCTTTCACAATTTGTGGGAAACGTAGTTTCCATTTTTGAAAATATCAACTGCTATTCTACAAGAATCTAGATGACAGTTAAACAAGGCTCAGAAGTCTTCATCGAAATCAGATGCTTTGATTTGTTACATGAAGTTATTAACAAGGTTTACTTTGTCCTTTTTTGCCTTTTTTGCAGAGTTACAAAGTCTGCTTTAAGAGGTTGAAAGAGTTGCGGTGGAGTAAGTCAGATGTTTGTCAGACAGGACTGAAGGTTTAGGAAAAGATCATGGTTTGGGTTTAAATACACTCTTTTGCAGCCTTAACTCTGCAAACTGAAAAGTAACACTTACCGACTGTGTCATTACCCACAGCGTCAGGAAATTTACTCCAGCGGACACCTTATGTATAATCAGGAAATCCCAGCAGCTTTGAGAGGGTGTTTCTTTTCTGTGTTTTGCTGTTGTTGTCATTATTTTTGGGCCTTCGGTTTATGCTTGGATTTGCTTAAAAAGCTGACTTCATGTAGTTCTGCCCATCAAACCTGATTTAGCAGCATTTCAATCAAAATCTAATGTTACCAGTACTGAGTCAAAGCAATTAAGATTAGCTTTGTTAAGACTCTTTTAACTCTTTTATCCACATATATGTACTGCTCTAGAAAACATATAAATTAAATGCCATAAAATGTTTTTATTTTTTTCTGCGCTTATTTGAAGCTGTTGCTGTGATCAACACTGTAGCCTCACACTGTGGAGTTTGCGTGTTCTCCTTGTTATTGTGTGGATTTGCCACAGTTTCCTCCCACAGTCCAAAATAAAGAGCGTGCATCTCAGGTTAATTAGTAATTCAAAATGCAAATAGATAAAATTCTTAAGTGCATAAAAAATGTGCTGTATGAATTTATATGTGAAAAGGATCAAATTTGTAGAGCTTTGTATTGCGCTTCAAAAGGTTTGTAAGATTAGAAAAGGGCTATGAAAATGCCTTCCCATTACCATAAATGAATGAGGAGAGAGCATTAACTCTAAAGCCTATTCATTGTCCTGTGCTCATTCTCATTTCTTTATTTATCTTACACTGAGCCTTAGTGCAGCCCCTCAGTTCAACTTCTGTCTAGAATAAGCAGTTTTAGCTCCCTTCTCCTTCCCATTAAGGCAGCCTTCTTCTGATTGGCTGCCCCTCCAAAACCTCTGAAAAGACTAAACAACATGTGGATGACTCATAGCCAGAGCTGTGGGGATATTGCACTGATTGGTATCATATGGAGCAGAAATAACTTGGTCTACAGTGTACTTACCTTCCTCTTTACGTCACTAATCTGCTGCCCACCAGCACAATTAGTTCGTGTTTAAATTCAGCTGCTTTCACCATCACAGCTTTTGTGATTTATCCACAACATTTAAAATAATTAAATCAAATTAAAATATTCATGACAGATGGTTTCTCTCTACAGACACCTTTGCCAGTAAAGTAGCAGCAGTCCAGGACACCTACGCAGATGCCTCCATTGGGAATGTGACTGGCAGCAACGCAGTCAATGTCTTCCTGGGAATCGGCATGGCCTGGTCAGTGGCGGCCATTTACTGGCACATGAAAGGGAAGCCGTTTGTGGTGGAGGCCGGCTCGCTGGCCTTTTCTGTCACTCTCTTCACCATCTTCGCCTTCCTGGCCATCTCGGTGCTGCTTTACCGGCGCCGGGCCCACATCGGAGGAGAACTGGGCGGGCCCCGGGGACACAGACTGGCCACATCAGCCTTCCTTTTCAGCCTCTGGTTTCTTTACATTCTCTTCTCCAGTCTGGAGGCCTACTGTCATATAGAGGGCTTCTAAACAAACAAAAAAAGACTCCAGTGTGACACAATACAAACATACAGGGGTTTAAAGTACAACTTTAGAGGTAAAAGAGTGAATTCTCACTGTGGAATTTAGGTCAATCTTGTATGGAAAGGACAGGAGAGGGTTTTCCTTTACACCTCCCTACTCCTCTTCCTCTCTCAACCCCTTCTGTAAGGATGCTTGGAGGTGTGTATCCTGCCCTCTAGTGCCGACAGGCCTGGCTGATAAAGGAGCGACCCTGAGCCTGTGTGAGTGTGCTTACAGTTGGGATTGGGATACCACCGAGTACAGAAGATGGCGATGCCAATAGGTGGTCCTGCATTCCACTGGAAGAGACTGCAGTCTTATATCCGGAGAGGGTTGAGTTAATCAGAGGTCTATATTTTTCTCAACATCTGACGAGAATGACTTTTTTTAAAAAACAAAAAAGTATTTTGGGGATAAAAATGCAAAAAATAAACGAAACAAAAAACGAACACACAAGGACACAAAGAGGAATCAAAGAACTATTTTCAGATCTATGGAGTAACAAATGATTATAGTGAAAATGGGAATATGTTGTTGAGTGACAGTGGGATGGATTCATAGTATTTATTTTTATTTGCATAGTTTCCTAAGGAGCACGGCAGAGTTGTCAGAAATTACACGAAGAGGAAAATCAGCAGCGACAGCGTCCGTTCATACTGGCAGACGAGTCACCATTCAAACATGAGGGGAAGAGGTGGACGCCGTGAACATGGTCAAACTGCCCTGAACATTACTTCCGTACTCTAAACGTATCTATATATAATATATTTCCATATTTTCTGTATATTTTGAATATTTGTTTAAATGTGGTCACCTTCTGCTCTAACAACAGAGGATAGCTGTGGCTAAGTGGGAGGGGAGGGTGGGGGATAAACTATATAATGGAACGATGTCTTCACATTTCTAAGAGTTATGTATCTTACCTAGGTAAAAGTATGACATCGTATTTTATTTATTTACTGATATCTTGGTCTCACTCAAGTTTTCACCTTTTCAATCAGAAATCTGAAAATAGGAAAAAAAACAAAAAAACGTGTTGCTGCAGAGATAAATTCAGAGGTATTTTTGTACTTTTCCTTCCATGCACTTTGCTGTATAGTTCGACTTCTGGAGAATTCTACTTGTACATGTGCAAAAGGCCAATAAAAAGGTGTCGTTATGGACTGAACAGAGTGCCTGTGGAGGGAAAGGCGTTTGCTGCAGCTGCCCACAACCACCAGCTCTTTGCTCTGCTGAAGAACGCGAGCGTTTCCTTCTTATATGGTGCATGAGCTTTTATTTATTTATCTATTTTTTTTAAGCTTCATTAATTGATTGGAATCATGGAATTAAGGGCTTTCCAGGAGCACATACCCACTGAATTTGGCTAAGATCTCTCTTTCAGGTATCTGTACAATCACAAAAAGCTTTCTCCTATGGATTGGTTGTGCGCTTAGCTTTTTAGCTATACCAGATGCCCTTCATTCACCATCACATGGTTACATTAGAAAAGGTCCTTCAAAGGTAATAGGTTTTGTGGGGTTTCACTGATTTTTTTTCTGTGACACTTTGGTTAAAGCAGACAAGTTTAAGTTTAGAAAAGACTATTATTAGGGTTATAATCCATCCATGTCAACCGTTTCATTTAGAGCAGAGGTGTCAAACTAAAGCCTGGAGGTCAGAATGGGCTATGTTTGGCCTATGATGTAAAATGGGTTTGACATCCCTGCTTTAGTTCCTTCAAGCATTCAAACTACATATATTTACAGAGGTCTACAGACACCCTTGAAATTACCTTAACCAATAAAAAACAGAGTCTAATATTTAGAGTGGAACATTTAGATACCTAATCTGCAACCAGCCACCAGGTTGTGAGTGCAATGTCGCCCATCGTCGACTGTTAATGATGGGCATATCCATCCTCACATCATCCATTGGTTGGTCTCGTTATGATGACATGAGCTGGGCATTATTGCTGTTGTCTTCTCTGTGTCTCAAACCAGGAGATGATGAGCAAACATCTGACAGCAAACTCCTGATATCCTGGATAATCCCCCATCGATAACTCAGAGAATAAACTTCATGTTTTATTTAGTATTACCTGAAACTAGCGATCAGCCCATGAATTCATCATTAAGTGTTCACTGGGGTTACAGAGTGAGGATTTCAGGGTTATTTTTCCTTCTTGCTCATTATACATCCACAAAAGTCACCCCCTGCTGGCCAGTTCATGCATGGACTTGACCATCTTTTATAGTCTACTTGAGCTTGAAGGCTGAAATAATAAAGTATGTGATAGCTTTAGAGTTTTCACTTTCTTTGAATTATCACTGAATATTTAAAGGAAAAATTTGTTTACCTGATGTGTGCAGAAGGCTAGCTTCATTTCCGATTAATTGCAGGCATTTAGCACAAATGTTCAGGTACTAAAACTGCTAAAATACTTCATTCATTTCAATACACTTTCCATAAATTTATTTCATAGTTAAGAAATGGTCATTAGTGCAGCTTTGAAGTAATTAAATGTTTCTTTGCCAAAGTCTACAAATGTATCCTTCCTTAGAACTATTATTACTGTATTAGTTTTGTATGTGTTGCATAATTTTGGCCTCCTTTTGCTGTAGTCACTATGTAAAGAGCAAGTGTCAGCGGTTCTCCGTTTGGGGTGAAACTGCTCAGCATCGAGAGCTGTTGGTGTGGGCGTGAGAGCAGCAGGTAGCTCCAGGTTGAATTTGAAAGTAGCCCGATATTAATAATGAACTACGTTTAACACATGACTGGTGCTTTGTTTTTAAAACAAGAGTTTAAAGAACTACAGAAACTCCCAAAGTGTCAGAAAACATGTTTATTGAATAATTTGAAAGTGTATGTGGGAATTGATTCTTGGCTAATTTTAAAATCACCCAAGAGATTACCAAAGAGGAGGTGGGATGCAACATCTGTTTTAAAGTATATAAAGAAAAAATATATTGGAAAGAAAAAACGTTTTTTTAGAGTAGGCGACAGTAAATGGCAGTAACACTGTATTTCCACAAGGGGGATGTCAATCTCCAGTCCCTGTGGTTGTTCCTTCTTTAATTTCTCAGCACTCTCCTCCTCTTCCTCAGTGTTCTTCCTTTGTGGTGAGCAGTGTTGTAAATACGTCTCGTGGCTGAATCGGATGCTCTTTTCCTGGCCCTGGACCACACATGCTCACCTCACGCTATCTCTCTTTCTCTCACACTATCTCTCTCTTACATATAAACACACACACGCATATATTCAATGAAGAGCGATGGGTCCACTGCTGCACAATAGGGAGGACAGTTGGAGGGGCTTGCTGTCCCAATTCAGATGCAACACAAAACAGATAATGTACATAACTTTCAGTGTATGTTTACATAGACACAGTTTAGGTGTCCTGGGGGGTAAAAAGCATGACAATACAACTCTCACATCTCATCTACAGGTTATCTGCAGTCGCTTCGTCTGAGCCAGTGGAAGTGTGAAGTTTTTATTTCTTTTTTTTTCTTTTTTTTTTTCTTTTTTCTTTTTTTGCAAGTCACAGGGGGTCACTTTGTTATCTGTCCCTTTGTAAAAATCCTGCAACAGGAAATATTTTGGTCCTCAGTTGAACAGGTATTCATGAACAAAAGGAAGTGCCAGTGTTCTTCCTTTTATCCCTGCCGTTAGTGGCTGTTTATATTGTTCATTTGGTTGTGTTTTTGGTTTTATCTGCCAGGACTTATTGAGTTGAAACGTTGGCCAGTGTGTGTTTGTGTGCTGTGCATGTTGCCGTGCCGAAGCCAGGCTGCGCATCCTCTTCACACCCGTGTGCACAGATGATGTGCACGCCGATGATGATGCTGTTGTCGTCACGGGGACGCAACTCAAAATTGGTTCTGTCATTTTGTCGTATTAATACATGTCTTAAGTCTGTAAAATATATATTTTTTTTAAAACAAAACATAATCATACAAATCACTTCTGAAGGCACCAGTCTTTTTTTCTTCTTCTCTGTCTATAGGATGGCATTGAAATATCACCGTGCAGTAACTGGACTAGTGGTTGATGATGTTGTAAGACACTGTGGAAGGTTTCATTGATGAGGTGAATACTGTTCTTTTAACTTTGTTTTGGTGTAACAGAAAAGGGGCACGTTTTAATGGATGGGTATGTTTTCCTGGCCTGCAATGAGATGTCAAAAATAAAAAAGCAAATTTCCAAAGTGTTTTGAGATTAAACAGTTTTGTTCTTTTTTTCTGTGAAATAAAAAAAATGTTTTCTGGTTCATATGCAAACATTGGTTTCACTCATTTAAATCAACCCTGGCCGTTTTAAATATAAATTTGCATCACTAGGAATCCAGCAACAAACCAAATGATTTCATTAGAATTCTGATAAGATTTCAAGGCTCTTGTGTTAAATTGAGTTTGACAACACAAGAAATCTCAGTACATATCATGTAACTGCAGCTTTAAAGCATATTTCGAGTATTAGGTTGTTTAGCCACACCTCAAATTGCCTGCTGTTTATGGTTTAATGTTTATCCTGATGCTGTTAAAGAAACCAAGAGCCGGCAGTAGAGGAACTGCTTTGTTAGCATTTTTCTAAACCTCAGAATCTTCCAAATTTATATTTGACACTTCTTAAAGTCAGCACTGAGGAAACACAACCATAAGCAGATAAGAAGCAACTTCTAACAAGGATTATTGTCAATGTCTGTATATTACTCTTTTTGGAAAACATTAAATCAAAGCCTCCTTGAGAATCTAAAACTCTTTTTCCCTTTTCTTTTGTTTTCTTTTCTTTGTATCATTCTTAGTTCAATAAATCCATCATTTTCTTTCCCACTCACAAAATAAATGAAGTCTTTGTTTGCTGCTTCATAAAAATAAGCCTGTTAGAAAGAGCAATTGTCTAATAAGCTTGCATAATATTTTTTTTCAACTATATCAAAATATGGAAGCTCTTTTGTGCCAAAGGAGGAAAAAAGGATGCAGATGATTTTTTAATTCTTTAATCTTTCCAGCTATTACTTCATATTGTTTATTTAGTGAGGTCAGATTTTAAGTTTTAGCCTCGTGCTTTTGACTTTATCATTCTTACAGGTTAATTTTAAACTGCTTTTGACATGTTAAGTAAAAAAAATATCG